CCACCAATTAGCGCGAAAGGGAAGTTCTGAGGGACCGGAAGGGTGCTGTTCTCCGACAACGTAATAGGTGACTATTGTAGCTCTGCCACACGGCTGAGACTACATCCTTACATTTGTCTCAAGAGGCCCGCTGAGCGTGCTGTGACATTGCGCTGAACATTGCGAGTAACATTCTAGATGAACAATTTAAGGATGATAACTCACTTATATGGAAATTATTAAAATTTAATATAAAATTTTATTTAACGTAGAAAGTATTTTTTCAGGTTATTTATTTGTTAGATCTCAAAAAATTTTAAAGCTAGTTACTTATTCATAGATTTTTTAACACTTACATTAAAAATCGGTTTAGTTTTTACATGGGAAGAGGCGACATATCGAAAATTCCCTGACATTTGTTAACCGAATCTATCAGTAAGTAAAGTATCAATGTAGAACACTTGAATGTAGAGAAACTAGTGGCACTGTAATAGTACATACTTTCACTTTATCAAAAATTCGATGCTAAACAAACATCCTGAGACTACAACGTAGATTTTCGTCGGTTAATACGTTCGTAAAAATTATTAAAAAAAAATGTGAATCGATTTAAAACATAAATTGATACAAAAAATTATTCGAAAAGTACTAATATCCTTACTAAAAATTGACATTACTTGCCTTTGCATATATATTTCTCATTACTGGAAAACAAATTCTATCTTTTTAAATATTGTAGTAGTAGGAAAACGCGCAAACAATTTCGAACCATTGCAATTTTCAAAAAATGAGGGTTTCACAAAACATAAAACCTACCACCTTTTCTTTTATAGTGTTTGCATGTCTTCAAGAGATTTCCGAGCGACAAAATTTAATACCAAAAATGGATCCATTATTGCAGCGAAATTTTAAACATTCACGGCTTCTTTTTAAAATGACACCGAAAATGAATATCCCGTTTTTCAAATTAATGAGAGCCCGTTCTTCTTTCAGGCTGATGGAATATCATTTCGAGAGAAAATCGTCTGAAACGGTTAGGCGTTAACGCTGACCACAAAGAGACGACGGATTGATCGATGAATGGACGGGACAGAAGACGGTTTGCCCGTCAATCAATTTTTTGGTCGTCAAGAGTCCATAGAACATGGATTCTTAAACATTAATGTGGTTAAAAAAAGGAATTTACACGTACTACGATAAGATTTATCGACTTTTTCGTTACTGAATGTCCTGAAATAAATGTTTTTGAAGTCGCAATATAGCTTGAGATTTCGTTAGACACTGAACCAATACTTCTATTCTGATGAAGTACAGCGAAAAGTAAACAGGAAAATCATTACATTAGTAAATATTTTTAACATCTTTTAATGGGAAAGCAATGTATTAAAACGGCATTTAAACATTGTCTATTAAACATTACTAATGTGAGTCTCAATTTGAAGGTTACACACAGTTGTTTGAAGTCACAACTTTAATTTCTATGTGAGGAATTAAAAAAAAAATAGTAAAATAAGCAAGTATTAGAAATAAACGTATTTAAAATATTGACTTTAATCCCAGTTTCAAACACAAGATGAAGGAATGGATTGATAGGTCTGTTAAATAATCTTTGGATAGAAAGTTTTGTGTTTTTAGCTTGTTTAGAATTCAGAGTTTGTTTTTCAAAAACTTTTAAAAAATACTAAAGACGAACGTGGACGTAAATGCGGCACATCACTCAAGTTTGAAGTACCACTGACTGAAAGCGTTTGGAGGAAAATGATCCAAAATAAAACTCGTGCCAAGGAATAATTTTAAAAAGTTGCGAATCAAGAACGTGAATTTACAAGTTTAAACAACACACTCTTTATGAGGAATATGCAAATGGATACATGTAAGGGGAAACTCAATACCAGGCATACTGTGGCCAATATCGGAGATTTCGGAATGTCAGGCAGAAACTTTACAAAATAGTACCTGTTAGGTATTTGCCTTTTAAAAAAAAATGGAATATGACATAATAAAAGAACAAAAATTGCATCAAAATTGTTGGTTCAAAGCTTCATTTTTTTACTGCTTGAAATTAATACAACAAAAGCCATCACATGCTTATACAAATACCCAATTATTTGAAGTTCCTAAAAATGTCTCAATAAGAATACCCCGGAGGTTACACAATCGGCCCTTTCAACTTCCATAAGACTTCTATATTGGGGGAAAAAGGAAGCCATTCCAATTGTCTTGACTTCCTAAACACGAGAGGCATGGGGGCGATGCGGCTGCGAAATGCCGGGGCGGGGAGCGTGCCGCCGGGGCCGCTTCGCGGAAGCGCAAACCCCTGAGATCCCTTTCGCTGCCGCCCGCCTTTCCCGGGAGCGCCGCCGCGGCGGCCCGCCGCCTCCGTCGCCGCCGCCCGCCCGCATGGGTTCGCTGCTCGTAAGCCAGCCGAGGCTAGTTTACGTCATGGAAAGATCGGCGGTCGCCTACTCGTTTACGTAGCCCGATTGGCGGAGAGAAAGACGACACCGAGCAAGAGCCGGTGGGACCAGACGAAACAGGCCAGGGGCGTTGCGGATCGGGGGCGGAGCGGGCGCGGAGAAGGAGGAGTGGGCGGCGGAGCGGGTGTGAAGCGGGCAAGGAGCGGGGGAGAGCGGAGAGGAAGCGGGGGAGGAGCGGGCGAGGAGTGGAGAGGAGAGGGAGGAGTGGGCACGAACATTGCGGCGAGCGGGCGGGGAGCGGGTGGGAAGAGGGAGGGAGGGGCGGGAGGCGGGCGGGCCAAGGGGGGGAGCGGGCAGGAACGGGGGGAGCGCGGCGAGGAGTGGGAGGGAGTGGGAAAGGCGAGCGCGCAGCGACGCTGGAAGCGGTGCGGTGAGCGGGGCAGGGAGCGGTGGGGTGAGGGAGGGGTGTGGGCGGGAGTGGTCGGAGGCGGGCGGGGGAAGCGGGCGGCGGAGCGGGGGGGAGCGGGCGGGGAGGCGGGGGGGGCGGGCGGGGAGCGGCGGGGAGGCGGGCGAGCAGAGGCCGTAACATCTCAATTGCCAGAGAACATCTCGGATTAGAACGACCCAGAAACACGGGCGACGGCGCCACTAGGGAAAGTGTTCGGAGCGACGCGCGACCTCCATCACGCGCACCCTATCGTCGCCTTCATGGCCCTCTGAAGGAGGGCCTGGTGAGCCGAGAGAAATGGGGTTGAATTGGCTGCGGACATGCGGAGGGAGGTCAGCCGGCGGAGAATTGGGGGCGGTCTGGTTTCTCAGCAGCGTAAGAGTTGAGGTGAAACCTAGGTGGTTACATGAGGGGCGAGGGGAAGGCGGCGATATGAGATGAATAAAAGTAGTGTGATGTGGTTATAGAGACGTTATATAAGACGGTGGTAAAGAGGGTTAAGGATTGAACTTTCATATCCAAGTCACCTATTCATTTACGAATCCTAAAAAAAACAACAACTTACGTGTACGGAACCTGAATTATTAAACACTTCATTGGAAATATTTATATGTAAAATCTTTCTGCTGTGTTTGCTACTACCGAACCTTTCCAAATCGGATATTGACGGATTAGACATGTTTAGAATATTTTCGCTGTTTTCTTTTTCAACACCAAAAACATTCTTCTCTAACAACGTAGGAGACCAAAACGTGAAGTACTATAAAATTGAATTTCCAAAACTAGATCATCGCGGCCACCAGAATATAGGCAAAGACATTCTTTGTTTGATGGTTGTTCCCTGAAACTGTTTTTCCTACATACAGATACGCGAGGGAATGTCAATTTGTTTCTAGCCCAGAATATTTCCCACGATGCTGCAAAGAACGATGTTAGCCTTTGTTTCGGGAACATTCGTGGAGGTGGAATTCGTATTTCATCCATCGCGCCGGTATTGTGTTAAAGGACTGTGCGCCGAAAAATAGTAAAATAGTAACTGTCGAACCACGAAGACTAGCGATTGAACTCATGTACTTAAATGAAATATCGATAAAGGAATTGTTTCGAAAGAGACGTATGAGAGAGAGAGAGAGAGAGAGAGAGAGAGAGAGAGAGAGAGAGCGCAGGAAAGAGAGAGGGAAAAAGAGAGAGCTAAAAGAGAGAAAAGAGATAGCGAAAAAAGAGAGAGCTAAAAGAGAGAGAGAAAGAGATACTGAAAAAAGAGAGCGAAAAAAGAGAAAGCGCAAAAGAAAAAGCTGAGAGAGAGAGAGAGAGAGAGAGAGAGAGAGAGAGAGAGAGAGAGAGAGAGAGAGAGAGAACACATAGCGAGAAAAGGAGAAATTGAATGAACATTCGACGTTTCCCATTGAGGAACATACGGTACAATAATGGATATCTTGGAGATATGTGATGTTTTACCTTACGAACTCTGTCGAAAACGTTTATCTCCAGTACTGCCAATGCTGATTACGATCAGCAGCAGACTGACGTCGTTAGAAGGTTGACATATTGACATATAAATGACATTGTAAGAAGACAGCTAAAAATGATTGGAAATTCTGTAATGTCTTATAAGAAAATATGGCATTAAATGTATCACTTTGACCTCCAAAGAAAACAGTGGATGTTCCAGAAGCACTTAAATCTGAACAAATCGATTGTGTTTTAAATTTACAACACGAAATTCTCAACTAATAAATTATCATTACAAAGGATAACACTCTACAAGAGTATGGCCCTGCGATGAAAATTATTTCTACTGACAAACACCTCCATTCACTGCGTTGTAATACAGATTGAATGTCAAACATGGATAAGCTTCTTCCTAGTGAAATTTTAATTTTAACTCGTTTTGCAAAATTATATTGTTGTGAGTATTTTCTGATGTACCAAATTAACGGAGTATGTATTACTATTGTACTGTAATAAATTATGATCTGCACCATGCCCCCAATAAACAATAAACATTCAGAAATGTAAGCAACTGTCAATACGCCAATTATCAATATTTTGTTTGACGACTGCATACAGTTCTCATATTCCGCAATGGAATTCCACAATTCTGCGGAGACACAGATTTTAATTTAAAAAAAAAAATGACAAAACACGGCACGCACCTTCTCGATGATGCAGGTGAGGCTGATGCCGCTTCCCACGTCGACGTGGTGTTCGCCGTTGCCCAGGATGAACGCCTCGGGCACCACGATGTGCAGGTTGACGAAGTGCGACATGATGCCGGTGCCTGTGGATACCTGCAACCACAAACGCGCGCCGTCAGTCGCGATTCAGGACAATCACTCAGAAACCATTCTGCGCCTCGCACGGCCACCCAGAGGAACCTGTGGACAGTGATACTATTAATGATCCAATTAGGTTAAAATAATTGTACCAGGAGTGTCTTAGGATAGTTATTACAGTTTCTAAATTGAAAAGGAACAAAATATGAAAAAATTGCGATATGTCGTTTTTTGCGTATGTGCAAAGAATCTCCGGTAATAATGGACTAGATAATTGTACACGTAGATTTTCGAGACAAAAGAGTACGCCTCCTGTGCCAACTGGCCTTCTTAAGATATAACACCAGAGGCGGAGCTTTACTGTGTCACCACCTTGAAGAAGCCTGCGACATGACAGGCGAAACGTTGGCCTATCTGCCAACGACGCGGTGTCACCCGGACAGCCTAGAAGTCAAGGACTAGATAATTGCTTATTTCAGTGTCCGTTTAAACTAGTGACCTTCAGGAGGAGAAATGCTGATGAACAAAATAATACAAAATGGTTTTCCAAAACGTAGAACACACACTGCTCAAGAACAACAAATGAAATACCCTCGTTTATCATTGCGATAAATGAAATAGTTTAACAGAAACAATCTTCACAAATACTACAACAATACAGTGGAATAGATATACGTATATTAGAGGAGACTTGCTGTCGCATGGCGTCTGTAGTGTAAGTAGTGAAATACCGAGTATGAGATTTCAGTCGGTATACCATATAACAATCATATATCGAGTAGAATTAAAGAACCAAAAGTTTGCATTTTGTTGTCAAAATCGAAACTGTTTAATTGTTTTTGGATTTTGACGAGTCCCTGCAAATCTAGCTAAACCGTATATACATATCAAATGTCCGGTGCCTGCATAATTTTCTTTCAATTTCTGCGCGCGATGGAAATTAGTAAATTAGATATTATGAATGAATGTAGGACCTAGAAACCGACTCGTGAAAAAGACCAGCGACGGGTGATGTGTACCATATTTTCGTAATCGGACAATGTGTTAAAACACATATTGTAATGAAGATTTGAAAGCATTTGGCGTTAATGAGAAACTCATCATCGAATAAAAATATACATTAAATCAGTCGTCTTTTTTTCTTAATCGAACGATAATATTGTTTATTTTACATTCACGTCATTAATTTATGCCCATTAGTGTTCAACGTAATGTTTGATTAAAAACACTGAAATACGTAATTGTAAATTATTGAATACACTTTCCCCAGTCATCAACAGACCGATCGAAGACTTGTAGACAGGTGGGCTCGGACGGTTCATCTAGGGCAACTCGCTCAAAGCTTCGACTTAATTGGGCCTTCGCATATTTTTCATCCAAAACATTTAAAAATATATTCACTGCTATTTCAAACTAACTTCTATAAATTGTGTTAGTTGCATGAAATGACAAACTCTTTTTACCCATTGGCGAGGAGGATTTTTGCTTGAAATAAGATCTTGCTTGGAGAGATTCTCATACCCGCAGTACTGCCGGCTCTTTGTAGAGACAGCAGAGTGTGACATATCGTGATGGGTTTTCAACTAATTTTTTGGGGAATATGGAAGAAGAATCCGGATTGGAAAGGAATGATCTACTGCGAAGTACCTTATCTTTTTAAATTAATGTTCAGAGTACAGCCTGAAAGTGCTCTGAGAAAATCTCGGAAATCGGTCGATCTCAACTCAACTACGTAGCGTCGAAGTAGGATTTACCGTTCAATGACACTACGTTGCACTAGAAAATACATTAACATTGGTTGTTTTTTCAAATTCATGATTCCTAGCCTATAGTGAAGGCAGCATTTTAACGGCAAAACGTAATTAGCGCGCGTTTCGATCAGCATTAGTCAAACTATCAATTTGAAGAAGAAGAACAAAGAACCATGGTCGTACTATTTATCGCCATCCAAGATGACTCATATAAGGACAGCTCTTTGCGAAATATCAATGGGTTGTGTCATTTCAATAACTGTTCTTAGGAATTTCTTTTCTAATTCACTTATATTTCCTAAAGTGCATTATTTGCATGCTCCCTGAAAAGAAAGATATCATATATATATATATATACATATATATAATATATATATATTATAATATATATTAATTATATATATATTATATATGTGTGTGTGTGTGTGTGTGTGTGTGTGTGTGTGTGGTGTGTGTGTTGTGTGTGCAAGTGCATGTGTGCCTCCGGTTGAAAATTGTTTGGGGAGCATAGTATGAAAATGATTTTGTAACACGTACAAATTGTCAGGGCTAGGTACAGAGGCTATCCATGATACAGAAAAAATCAGAAGCGTGAAACAATTTCTTTTGTAATGGGAATGGAGATAGTTATAAAAGAGCATCATTAGGAGACTGAATCTGCTACAAACATGAACATCCGTGCATTGCCACTTGTACGGATCTAAAGGTCGGACAATGTGGCAACCGTCGAATATAATCTTTTCAGGAAAATACTTAAGTATATTAGCTTGAAGTGTAAAGAAACATGAATGATTACGCCTCTTACGGGTCCATAAAGCTACGACGTTCATTGATTGAAACTCGTGGCGGGTACCGGCGCGGCGCGGCGGCGCCAAAAGGCAGAACAAGAGCGGACTGCGGAGAAGTTGTAGTAGATCACCTCATGTGGGCGCGGGGGCCTATCCCAGCGACAGCGCGCGCGCGCAGGCGTCATCCCAGAAAGAGCCTCCCCGCCGCATCTCATCCCCTCCCCTCCCTCCCTCCCCGCGCTCTCCCCCGCCGCACGATTGGCAGCTTCGGCCGCCTCCCTCAGGGCAGCGCCAGGTCGCCGCCGCCCGCCGCCAAGCCCCCGACGGACGCCTCATCCACTAAAGAGGCCCCGCCCCGCCCGCCCCGCCCGGCCCTCGTCGCGTGTCCCCGCCGGGGGCCTCGGCGGAGACCGCTGCCTGAGCGCCAGGCGGGCGCAGTGGCTGCAGAGACGGAGGGCCGCTGAGGCGGTGGCGGTGGTCGGAACGCGAACAGGCAGTGGCGGTTGTGGAAAGACAGGGGGCTGAGTGTAAAAGCGAGATAGGAGAGGGCTTGATGGGAGTGGAGCAGATGGAAGTCGGAGGAGGGGTGGAGCGTGAAGGTGTTGCAAAGCGATTGTGTGGGTTAGAGGCTTGTGGTCGAAGACAGAGGCGAGTGAAGGTGCGGAGAAGACGTGGTCGGAGGATGCAGATGCCCAGTTACTTGGTAGGCCTGTTGTGCTTGGAGGATGGTTAGTGGGGGAGGATGTTAGATGGGGATTGGTGGAGCATGGTGGATGCCAGTGGATCGTACGAGGCGGGCGATAGGCCGTTGGAGGCCCATTTAAGGTCGGTGGAGGCTGGGGGAGGCAGATGCAAGTGGAGGCGAGTGCGGCGGGCAGACTGTGTGATTGGTGAAGGTGATGGTGGCCGGGTTGAGGGCTGATGGAGTCGATTGTGTGTGGAAGGCGGGGGTATGCAGAGGGTGGACATTGACAGCGGCGGTAGCAGCGCGTTAATGCAGTTGTTAAAGAGGTCACTGCGCGTAAAAGTGAAAAGTAAATCACAAATCACTACATGAATATTGTTATTACTCTTGCGCCCTTCTGCGCAGTTGAACTGAGCCATTTTATCTTTATATGTTTTCTTTTGGATTGACACGCTATTTATAATTGTTTTTTCATTTGTGTTTCATCAAAGCATTGTAAAATCCGTGATGCGCACTGGAGAAGTAGTAACAAAAAAAATGTACAAGGTACACTCAAGACAGAAGATCATTATGTCAATTCAGAGCGTATATCAAGATTCGCACTTGCATACGTATTTACATTATTTTTCACATATTCTCAATGGCTATTAATATCTGACGAGGTCCAAGCCTTTTCCAGGTTTTTCCTGGCGGCGCACATAGTCCTCTGACACCCTGAGTGTCATTGCGCATGGTAGGCGCACGTCTTAATTTGGAGGTTTTCTATCTCCAAGGCCCTGTTTCGAATCCAGGTCGCCTCGTGGGTGGTGGAGAAAAGGAGCGCACGCTTTATGGGGGTTCGCGCGGTACCTCTGGCACTGTTGTGAGTTCATGCGTATTAATACTATTTATCAACATCATCCCTCACACTGACGACATAGTTATTGTCATTAAGATAACAATATAAACTTATTACGTTTATTTTGTTCTGTTGTAATTTTAATATATGGAGAGTTTAATAGTGGACGGAAATAGAGAAAGAGTTCAAATTAAACAACGGTTTAATATATTATACATTAAATTTTTTTAATGAATTAAAAAAAACGCGCTGAAAAATGTTCGTTCTTGGTAACTACTTTTTTTCAATTATTATAATTATTGCATAGAAGTTAAAGAATAGTTATTTTAGCGTTGTAAGGGTTATAAACCTCGGGTCAAAGACCCTCGGACATATTGTCGCCGCTCGATCATTAGAAACAGTTAACACACGTGATACATACACGGTTTTATATTTTTACCCAATTTTATTGATTCCGATATTCTTATTTACTAATTAAATAGAATTTATATTGACTCGGTTTTTCTTTTCAGTCCCATAATTCCCTTTCATAATTCCGTCCATAAGAGAACACATAGTATCATTCAATTGTTGTCACATTTCCCTCGTAACCACTAACCTCTGATATCTTCATATTTAATTCGTCTCTGATATCTACATTTTTGTGGTCATTTTTCGAGAGTTACAAACAAAAAACTTTCAAAAAAAGTGTTTTGAGGTCGTTGTTCTCAAACTGACACTAATTCCTTTGCTGGGTATTGTTGTAATGTGCTAGTTCAGTTGTGACATTTTGAATATCCTCCTGCCAATACAAGATGCATTTGTGTTTCAGCCATGGACAAACACAGCAAAGGTAAAGACTACATAGGAATAGCAAAAGTAACTCGATCAAGAATATTTATTAAGGATTTCACTATGTCTTGATTAGAACTGATGACAAGAATGAGCTAACGTCTCAAACTTCAGCTAATGAT